GCTGATGTGTAAAGTGTTCTTGGTGGTTCGTGTTACGGTGGGGGACTTCGTTAAGGAACGTGTCCAGGAGGTTTCAGACCCTGGAGGGTTCCTTATCTGATGAGGGCGGCGGTGATATCCATGGCTAAGCCTCGATTGGAGTTCCACTGGCTTCTAGACCCTGGATTTCTTATCGAAGGTTTCCTTATCCAATGCCCCCACCGTATTTAAACACATGATGGGGTGGATGTGTCGCGGAGCCTTACTGTATCACTTCGCAAGAAGGGAAAGTGACGAACGGAGCAAGGGCCTGACAGTGCCCGACGCACGCGCACACACACAAACCGCTGCAAGCGCCTTGGTGGATGCGGACACAAGCACTGCATATTTTTCTTGGGACTCCTTCCAGATCTTCAGACACAAGAAATTTGCGATTTACAACATCTGCAGAGAGTCTCAAGCAACAGTTCGCTTTCACCTGTGAATCTACCCGGTGACAAATGGAAGATCGTAGCCTCCCTCGGTCGGATCCAGAGCGTCACTAATGATTTCCCAAGCAGCGTGCTTGCATTTAATGGCTGGACTCTTACTTCATTGTTGTTCCTTGAGTACCTTGGCCAGGACCTGGCCGGGACCTGGCCGGGCCTTGCGGGGGTTATTTTCGTCTGGGGACCCCCAGGGGCGGCCCCGCGCGCGCGAATTAGAACAGTGCTAACCAGTCACCGGAGATCTTACCACGCCCTTGACCCGTTGGGCCGGCGAATTGCTGTTCCTTGAGTGATTGGGCGGGTCGGCCGAGGATTTTCCTCGTGGCCGCCCGAGCCGCCTCAGCTCGTGGGCGCTGGTGGGCGGCTCGCGTGCGCCGGGTGGGCCGGCCGAGGTCGCGCCACGGATGCCGCGCGAGCCGCCATGTGTGCGTTGATGGGCGGCCACATGGCGGAAAAGGAGGAGAGGAGGATCAGCCACGCGCAGAGGGGGGTGGGGGGAGGGGGGAGGGCTTCTTAGAAGCACCCCTGCCTCTTTGAAGGCGCGGGCCGTATCTATAGATGTAAGGCCGGCGCCTTCTGAGAAGCAGCGTCCTTCTAAGGAACCTTCCCCCCTCCCTCCACCCCATTGTGCGCGCCGCCAAGAGGAAGAGGAGGAGGAGGAGGCATCTCAAACCAGTGTTTCTCGAAGCAGGATCGAGCTCTTCAGAAACGTATGAAACACCAAACCAATTAATTGTCGCTGCAACAAGAAAGCCCAAGATGCCAGATTTCTGGGATGTATGCGCGCGGGCTTCCCTATCACTCCCATCAGCGCCATCGCATCACCGCCGTCATCGTCAACGTCAATCGCCGCCATTGCCACCATTCTGATCACACCACCTTCATCACCGACACATAGAACACATGATTACCCTCGTCACCAGCATCGGCTCCGTCATCGGCCTTGCCGTCGTTATCGTCGTCATCACCTCCATCATCGCTGATATGATCATCGTTGCCGCCGTTGTCGCCGTCATTATGGTATCGCGCCCTCCTGGGTCTGCGACCTGCGCTGAAGTGTTTGTGTGCCACCGCGGCCTTTGAGACGCGTTGGGAAGTTTCCATCATTAAGCGCCCTCGTAGTCGCAGCAGTTGTACCACATCAGCTGGTCGCTCTACGCACGAGCGTGCCCGCGCCAGCGCGGCCGCAGAGATGTGCCAACGAATAGCAATTTGTAGCCGCAATTGTGGCCACATGGGTGTTGCCAAAACAGTGTTGCGGGTGGGAGGGTGGGATGTTCGCGCGAACGTCGGAGTAGACGACACCAAGTTCTACGCAGTGGCTTACGCCACACAAATTACGCAGCGCAGCTTGCACCACATCGTTTGCATTGCAGCGCCTTCGACTTCAGCTCATACGGCATATATTACACGACATATATCACACCGCACAGATGGCATTGCATAGCTTCTACTACAACAGCGCACGCCGCGTAGCTCACGCAACATTGCTTACACCACATAGTTTGCACCCCATAGCCTCCAGCCTGTTGTCTGGGGGCCCGCACTGGCTAATCGATTCATGGATATTCTTGTCGAGTATAAATTCACGTGTATACCAGCCACAGAGGGAAATACATTGTAAGCCCGCGATGCAAATATTCAATATGTGCAGGTTCGCCGCAAGAGGAACCAGCATTCGCATGAATTTGGTAACCGGCCACAGAAGACAACGCTCGCCAGCGCGGGCCCCAGTCACTGAGTTATTGCACCGGAGGTGAGCGGTATGCTGCGTAAGCCATGCGGTACCAGCGAGATAGGATAATCATGAGTCCATGCTGTGCGGAATGCGCTATGGGAGCTGAGTGGTGAAGTATATGCGGTGCAAGCTGTGCCTTGTAAGCTATGATGTGCGGTTTGGGGGTCCTGGCTATGTGGTGCTGGCCAGGCTGTTTTAGCTGTGCGGCGTGCGGTGTGTGGTGCAAGGCATGTCGTCCAGCCCATGTGATGCAGGCCGTGTTGGGCACGCGCCCACGACGCGGCCCGAGCGGCAGCGTGGCGCATCCTCGGCCGACCCGCCCAGCACACGGGGCGCCGACGAGGCGGCATGGTACGGTAGGTTCGCGCCGTGTCGACCGGCGGCGACCCCGCCGCGGGCGTTCAATCGGGTATAGCTAGGACCCCAGGTAAGGGGACCTTGTTAGTGATGGGGCCCCAGAGCCCCTAAATGGATCAGAATCACTAAACCAGGTCTGCCGTAGCTGGTGTTTTTTGGGTGACAGCAGTTCCAGTTAGTGGAACGGGGCGGGGGGGGGCGTCCCCCAGTACACATCACTAAACCAGGTTCCATTAAACCCAGTTCTGCCAACGCCCGAGTTCGAGTTGAACGCCGCCTGTGGCCCAGAATCGGCCCACATGGGACGATCGGGCAATCGAAAAGCAGCAGATCGGTCAAGGTTGAACGATCCACGCGGTGTCAGGAACCAACGCCGGGGTCGTCACGACACGAGCTTGCCACACGGTAGTGTGGACAAATTATGGGCCGCCCGCTCCATTTTCAAGGAACATTCGGGCGCCCTAAGTGCAAACACTCGTTTGGGGAGGATGTTTTTGCGGCGGCCGCGCCCCGATTTCTTGACACACGGACTCGTGCCGTGGAAGAGTTGCAACAGCTTGCTGTCTTGCGCCTGCTGTATACGAAGGCTGCGTTTGGGTGGCCCTGCAACATTTTCGATCAACAGGCAACTAGGCCATCATCTTGCTTTGGTGGGCGGCTACTTCTGCGCGGGTGGCACCTGGAGGAGCGAATGCCTATTGCCAGGCATTCCGTGGTATTCTACCACGCCTCAGCGCGCCAGGGTTTTGGGTGGTGGATTAAGGAAGGTGTGGCGGCGGTGGGACGCGTAGAAAGACATGTATGGGCAGTAGAGGCGGGTTGAAGTGGTGGTGCAGGTGGTTTCTCACACTCAGTCTCTCTCTCTCTCTCTCTATTCCATCCCATGTCTCTGTCTCTGCGCCTCCCGCCCAGCCCTGTTCCCTCTCCCCCGCTGTCTCGCCGCCACTCCCTCCCCCTCCCGCCCCCACTCCCACTCACCGCCACTCCATTCGCACCGCCTCCTTCTCAACGACGAGGTTCCCGCAGCTTGCGCCGACGACGGCGTGGTTCGCACAGCGTCGACGATGTGGTTCCCACAGCTTGCGTCGACAGGGGGAGGATGCGCAGGGAGGATGTGGAGGTGAGGGACAACCAAGCGGGCGTTGCCCTGAGCTTGAATCCAGAAGTGTCCGTGCAAGAGAAGCGCTCGGGAAATTGCGCACGCAGTTCTTTCTGCGCCCCTGCGCATGTGCACTTCTTTTTCGTCCGTGTACGTCTGCTTCGGTGGCCAGACACGGTGTTGAAAGATCTGTGGTCGTATTCGTGTCTCTCTCCTCTCTCTCGCTCTCTTTCTCTCTCTCTCTCTCTTTCTATCCCCCTCTGGTTTCCTCTCTCTCTCTCTCTCTCTGGTGTTCTCTCGTTTTTGTTGTTTCTCTCTCTCTCTCTTTATCTTGCTCTCTTTCTCTCTGGTTCTCTCCTTCTCTCGTTCTCTCTCTCTCTCTCGCTCTTTCTTTATTTGTTTGTTATTTCGATCTCTCTCTCTCTCTCTCTCCCTCTGTGTCTCGCTCTACCTCTCTGTCTACCTCTCTGTCTGTCTCTCTCTCTCTCTCTCCATCTCTCTCTCTCTCTCTCTCTTTCCGCCCCTCACCGTTGTTCCATTGGAGGAGGGGGAGGAGAACGGGCAGGGGGAGGGGCGGGGGCAGGGGGAGGGGAGGGGGAAGGGGGGGGACAGACGGACAATGATGAGGATGGCAAGGAGGAGGAGGAGGAGGAGGTGGAGGAGGACGTTGATGGTGCTGAGGAGGACGAGGCTCTCACCTCTCCCATGGTGTGCGCTGTTTGTGAGGGAGATCCGCCCGGCGAAGCTCACAGCCGAGAGTGCAGCGGTGCACGCCCGCACTGAGGGGTCAGGCTGGATTGGCTGCCGCGCGTTCGACTCGCCGCCCTTCGAGCCCCCACAGCAGCCTGGTGTCCACGGTCCACAGCGGGGCTCACTCATTCCACGAGCGACGAGCGTACCCATCCGTGGTGCACGCCCTGGCGGTCTGGATTCGGGGGCGCGGTCCCGTGGATGCGCGGTCGCGTGGATTGTGCGTTCCGCGCCGAGCATCTTCGGAGAGCGCGCTCCGTAGCCGCGGGGTCGCGGCCCAGGGGCCCGGGCCCGCGAGGCCGTGGATGCGGACATGCTTCCCGTCCATGATGCATGAATGTGGATGTGGATGTGGACGTGGACGTGGATGTGGACGTGGATGTGGATGTGGATGTTTCCGCGTAGCGTTCGAGTGTTCAGCTTCGAGCCCCCCAGCTCTCGTCCGGACCTCGGGTCCTTGGCAATCTCTCCGGAGGTTCCCTCCCAGGAGGCCTCCAGAAGGGGCTACGAACGTTTGAAGACACAAGTCATACTCGCACCTCGATCTGGCGCGTTCGCAGCGCCAGCGCCACAAAATTTGCGCCCCCAGTGCATATTTCGTGCCCTTCGACGTCTTCATACTCCAGGAGCCAGAGCCTACCGAGGCATACTTCATCAATCGGGGCTTCGACTGTATTTTTCTAGCCGACATGGTCTTGACTTTTTTCACGGCCTACGAGAAGGCACGAGTGCTTGCTGTTTGCACGACTCGCCGAGCGCCCCAGGGGTTATGAGGGGAAGAGGTCCAGAGTTTTCCAGTTTTCGGCCTCCCGGGGTCCATCCTGGGCCTCTTAGACCGTCAGAAAACGATCTCGGATGAAAAGCTTTCTTGAAGGGAACTGCAGGGCCCCTTTCCCTCATGGCAAGCACGACGGAGGCACAGCAGAGAGGGGTGAGCAGACAGGGCTCCCAACCGTCCATTCTGATCTCGGCTCGATCCGGCACGAACCGATTCCCTTTCCTGCCTGGCGTGGCCGAACCCGCTCTGCGATCCCACACGATCCGATCTCGATGTGATTCCGTGCCGCTTCAAGCGCGATCGAGGGAGGAGGTTGAGAACGAGGGGACGCTAGATGCTGGATTAGCCTGCCTCCGAAATCGGTGAACACGCAAGAATATGTAGTATGATTTGGCCACGCAGCCGGGGCACGGTGCTCGTCCTCCTCGTCACGACCAGCAGCGTCACGATCATCATCCTTCCGACTGCCTCTTCTTCCGCCCTCCTGCTGCTCCTCCTCTCCCGCCTCGTTTCCTCTGCTCCCCCTTTCTCCCCCGCCTGGTCCTGCAAGCGAGGGGGGTTGGACAGCGTCGTGTCGTTCCCTTCTCGTCCGCTCCGAAGGGTGGCGCAACAGGGCGAGTATGGAACGGACCATCGTTGGGTCCGACGGCATGATGGGAGGCATGGTAGCATCATGGGCGCTCCACGCGATGCGGACCCCTTCCATAGGAATGGACGGTGTTTCCCCAATGAGCCATCATTAAAGCCTTGGGGTCTGCCATCTTTGCTCCTGTATGACAAATACGATTCTTGCTTATTGGTCACACTTTAGGTTGGCTTCTTGGCGACGTCGTACAAGCATGACTGCGAACCAGGATCTGCTGTAGGAAGGTGTGCATGCAAGCATGTTTTTGGTGCGTGTTCTGTAGCCGCCGAGACTCGAATTTGACAGTCTTGCGACATGCTTTAGAGCCAGGCAGATGTATTAAACAATTGCGACTCGCAGCTTCAGAGCTCTTCAGTTTCATCGCGCGCTTGTCGCTACCTGTCACACTCTTGCTGATGCATCTTTGGCTGCTCTCTCCCAGGCAGATCAGAATGACGGGCAAGATTGGGCCCCTCCGATTCGGCATGCAACCTGCTCTTTTTCGCCTGCTTGACTAGCGGAGAGAGTATCACCAACATGGGCAGTCAAGATCAAGAAGGGAATCTCTGAGTGCATGAGGTCCGCACGTACATAATAACATTTGTACATCGATCGAGGATGAGGAGGAGGTTAAGGAAGAGGATACGGGCAGAACGAGAGAGAGAGAGAGAGCAAGAGTCGGGTAATTGCATATGTATTGAGGCATGGAAAGAGAGAAACAGAGAGAGAGAGCAAACACAACAACAGCGAGTAGCGAAGGGTATGAAGAGAAGCAAGAGGGAGAGAGGAGGAGGACGAGGAGGAGGATGTAAGAGAAAGAAGAGAGGAGAGATGGAGAGGATGGAAGAGGGAGCAGTGGGAGAGAGGAGGAGGAGCAGGATGTGGACGAGGAGAGAGGATCCATTTATGCAATGCGTAATTGCCCAGATTGCCCAGATCCTGTTCGGCCAGAGATTCACGCTGCGGCTGCGCGTTTTTGTTGATGCCCCACACCACTACCTCTCGCCTTCTATCCCTCCTGTCATTCCTTCCTCACCCTCCCTCCCATCCTCCCTCTAGTCCTTCCCCCTCCCTTTCCATTCCCCCTGCCTCCCCCATCTCCTCCCTTCCTTCCCCCTCCCCTCTTCATCTCTCCCTCACCTCCTTCCCTCGCCCTCACGGCAGCCGCTGGGGGGCGCAATCCATACGTGAACACCAACACCGATTCTGGCAAGGCCAGGCTTGGGCCCAGGATCGGTGTATGTGCCTTCCTGGCCAGGCCAGGGGAGCATGTGGGCGTCGGTCGAGGGGATCTGCGGCCTGGACGGTTCGGATGCGTCGCAGCCGCAAACGGTTGCGTTCGGTCGGTCCGGTCCGTCGGTCGTTGTGTCGTTGCTGCGTCTGTGCACCCTTCCAGGCTGCCTGCGGCCTGACCGGTTTCGGTCGGCTTCGGTTTCGTTGTCGGCTCGGCCCGTCTTCGGGTGTGCTGTGGCCTTGGGGGGCATCCTTGGGCCGTCGCCAGGTGGGGCTAGGACAGGGACTGGTCGTTCCACAGCGTTCCGGAACGCTCTCAGAGCGTGCCAGAACGCTCTGAGAGGGCCGCGGCGATTGGCATATCCTCCAGAACCGCCAGACCTCAGAAGTCCCCGAGTTATCCCTGTCCAATGTTGTCCCTGTCCTGGCTTCGTCTTACGCCAGTGGACATGCTGCTGGCTTCGTTTTACGTCTTTCCCGCGCCAATCGAGCCCGCCCAGGAGCTGCGGCGCGCCCGCGGCGCGCACATGCAGCAGACAAGCGGCCTAAGGCCGGGAGGCAGACCACAGGGCAGCATGGCGCTGCCATGTCAGCTCCAACGGCGTTGACCTGAGGAGCTTGAGTAACAGGAGGTCTCGCTGTAGGAGCTTGGGCCCATGGCAATCTAAGATCTCCACGCTGTGGCTGCCAAGCGAATTTCCCATCCTGGGAGTATCTTGGTCCGTCTTGGGAGCTTCTCAGGTTGTCCTCCTCCTCCTCCTCCGCCTCCTCCGCCTCCTCCTCTCTGCGCTACGCCCTGGCCCGTCACCGCGAAGGCGGCTGGATGCGGCCAGCAGAGGCTTGCTTTCCTTCCTGGTCTGGGTCACGGGCTTCGGCCCGGCCCGCAGGCCGGTCGGGAACTTTTCATTTTTGTCCAGCGTCTTATGCTGCTTGTTCCAGCCTTCCACTCTTCGGCTCAACACGCTAAGCATTTCCAGGCCCCCGAGCGTCAACGTCCTGGGCTTTTCCAAGGCTTCCGCCCCGCGGAGAGGGCATAGCGTGTCGCTGGGGCAGCCACTACGACACGCTAAACAAAAGTTCCCGACCGTAAGTCGCTCCAGAGCCTTGAAGCCACCGCGGTGCCCGAAGATAACATGCTCCAGGCCCACCAGATCTCAGAGGTCCCCGATCTGCATTGGGCACCAGCCTAAACTTCGGCCGACTTGCACCACGTTGAAATGTTGCGGTCGAGGGTTCGGGGGTTCGAGGGAAAGGCGCCGATTTCGGCCACATGGGGGGCCCCCGGAGGGGCCCAAAGCCCTCGTGTTCCCCGCTCTCGCCTCTGCGAACATCGCCGACGTCGAAAATTCAGGCCCGCGCGTATATTCATCCGAATGTTAGTTTTGATCCTGCCTCCGTCTTCCCTCCTCCTCCTCCTCCTCCTCCTCCTCCTCCTCCTCCTCCTCCATCCTCCGAGGCTGCTCAGTTTCAAAGTCATTGTTGCGCCTCCGAGTCTGCAGCCCGACACTGGCGGCGTCGCGCTTCAAGCTTACCATGTCGCGTGTGCTTCCTTCGAGCTGCCTGGACGTCCAGTCGTGACTTCGGCTTGAGTGTATGCGATGTCGTACCCCTCTTTTTCCTCCCCCCCCTCCAGAATATCCGCGAACCACCCCGCGCCCGCCTCCTCACTCCGATCCGCAATTGCGAGGTGCTGCGCACGTGGTTTGTCAGTCACAAATACTCGGGGATTCTCAACAAGCGTGGAGAGGTGGGGGGTCGCAGCGCCTTCGGCGCGCGGTGGCCACCCGCGACGGGGGCCGGTGTGGGGCCGTCGGCGGGGTCGACGCCCACCGCGACGCTTACTCGGAAACTCGGAGTGCGGTCCGAGGCAGCTATGCCGTGGCGCCCCGTGCAGCACCAGGCTGCGGAGGGCAGGCCGAGGGCCGGCGGGGAGAAGGCACGGGGAGCGGAGGGCCGCGGGCCCCTCCGAGACGGCCCGCGACGCCTCGGGGGCCTCCTGAGCGCCACGGGCGTGCTGCGCGGCACTGGCGGAGGCGTTACCTCTAGGGTGCAGTCAACCATGATGGTAAGGATGTGGCAACTCTCCGAGGCCACCCTTGCATCCTTGCCCCTTCGGTTTTCGGCATCCTTCGGCATTCCGCTGCGCTCCGCACGGAAAGCGTCAAGGTGGCCTTCCAAGGCTCTTGCATCCTTACCGCGCATCCTTGCTATCCTGGTCGAGTGTAAGCCAGGTGCGGCGGAGATGCAGTGATTCTCGCTAGCTGGTCTATTTCACGCCTTGCATCCGTCCCCGAAGCGCCGGTTGCCACACAGGCCAGTGGGTAGCGATTCGTTGCCAGTCGATTGCACAGCAGCCACCACGCTCGGGATGAAAACAACCTTCCCCTCGTCTCTCCACCGGCCTAACCTTCCTCTCTCTCCTCCCCCTTCCTCCCCCTCCTTCTTCCCCTCCTTCCCCGCCTCTCTCTCCCCCCTTCCTCCAACCTCCCCCCCCGATCTCGCTTCCTCCCTCCCCCCGCTCCCATGGCCTGTTTTTCCTCCTGGACCTCGCCGCTCTTCCGGGCCCTCTACGACTGATCCTCTCCTCCTCCGCTTCCTCCTCCTCCTTCTCCTCCTTATCCTCCTGCTGAGGCTCCCTTCTCCTGACTCTCCTGCATCCTCGTCCTCCACCTTCTGATCATCCACCCTTCCTCCTCCTGCATCCTCTTCCTCCACCTTCTCAGTGTCATCTCCCTTCCTCCTCCTGCTGCCACCCTCCTACCCCAAACCTCCCCCCAGCAACTCTCCAGCCTCCATCCTCCCTTGTGGGATCGGCAATGCCGTGGATTGAGTCCGATGGGCAGCTGCTGGCCGACGACGCCTCCGCTCCTTCGCTCACCCACACGAGCTGGATGTAAAACAACAGAAGGTGTAAATCTGCCAGGAGAAAGGCAGAAGCGGAGCGACCTCCTCGGGCTGCCCGACCCGCTCCTGTCCCCTTTCCTGCCCCGCCCCTCCTCCCCCCCACCCCTCCTCCACCCAGCCTCCCCCCCAGCCTCTCCTTCGCCTTCCCCTTGTTTCCTAGTTCGCCGCAGCACATAGCCTCG